TTGCGAACCTGAAGAAGGCTATTTGCTTTGTTCGAAGCTATTCGATCATGGGAGTAACTCTATAATTTTTTTATTGTTCGAGTTTAAGTCAGTTAGATGATGTTGGCGCTGGGAAACTCAGTGAAGTGCTCGCGTTGCATTCAAACCGACACGCCGTTCACGGTAGGTTCACACTAAAAGACTGAAAAGATGGCTGTGAGCGTCAGGTTTGGAACGCCGTGGCTGCTTCGTGAACTATCGATCGATGTAGTACATGAGCAATTAAGAAGCACAATTTATGAGCAAAGTATTTCACCAGTTGACGACACTATGGCTGAAGACTTGATTGTAAGCTGTCATAGTCAGGGAAGCGAACAACTCAGTTGCCAATGAATGGCAGATGAATCCTGATGTGAGGCACGTCCATAAGCTAGGGACGTGACAACTTTGCCATGTTAGAAGACTGGCTTTTCCTTTAAATATTTCCTTCTATTTAATGCAACACACGCCACTTTGGAAATCTAAATTTCGTATACTGAGGATAAAGAAGACACGGACAAAAATAGGAACTCTGAAAATTTCGCACATAAGTTTAAAGCTTCTCCGGGACATCCCATCCGGGAGCTTCACAGAGAGCGACTTGACGAAAATAGGAGCTATTACTGACAAGGTTTGGTGACTGAGTAGAGCATACAAGTGTAGCCCACGTCGAGGCTTCAGGGGGGTTGCTTTTGTTTGTATCTGTATCTTGCTAAATAGTGCGTTTTCATGTACACTGTGGACCGCAAATTAGGATCGCACTTTTCACAAACATGCGAATTCTGGAGTTCAGAACCCAACCGACGATTGCGTTTTTCGCTGCTGTCAATCATCTTAACGGACCTCTTAGGAAACAAAACTTTACTTCACGGGCTCAAAAGGGCATGGTTTGTGATTTGTGGATTTCGATCCGTTCTGTGTGTTTCTCTGTTTCAAGGTTCGTTTCTTGTGATCGTAATTATGATTGACGGCAGCGATAAACACAATTGTGAAGGTGGCTTTTGAACTTTAGAGTTCGCATGTTTGTGAAAAGCGCAGTAAAGTCTCCGTGCAGTTAGTGAGGCCCCTGGATCAGGCGGGATCAATGGGCAGTTAACTGTCTGTTTTAGTATACTTCTGGTTTTCATACAATACAATATTTCTGTCTAGTGTAAATCAGCTCAGTCTGTCGCATTTTATGCTCGTAGAAGGACAACAATTTTTGGAATTTCCGGTTACGTCAAATTAGTCACGTTATACTGTCACGCTATATTTTGGGGCACAGAGGGATTGGGGGAGGGGTGCGATAATTATGAATGCGGCGCCAACTCGGCTACAATTAGGAGCGCGAAAAACTATTAATAATTAACGAAAACGTTTATTGAAATAATGAGGATTCACTTTCAAAACAAATTAAAAGGTAGTTTAAAGCGAGACGCGAGCGGGAGGGAATATATCGATTAGTTTATTACTTAGCGTCCATGAAACCTGAAATTGCTGAATTTCAGCTAACCTCACGGCGGCCCTGTTGGTTGAAGAAAACAAGAGCGTTTCTCTTCGCTGGGAATATGCGAATTCTACAGCTATGCAACAAAAGTGCTTTTTACATGAGAAAAGAGTGCAATCCCCGCATGATTTTTTTGGTACACCAACGTGGCCTCTGTTTCATTGTTTTGTACACCAATAAGAATAATAATGATAATAATTAAATAATAATTTACAAGGCGCAAAGTAGCATTTAAATATATGATCTAATGCGCAATATGGCCGCAATGACGTCTTGTAAAACGGTTTAATCAAACAACATTGCTGCCTGATCACATGGATACAAATAAAGAATAATTATCGACGAACGCATTTTGTAACTGTTTTTCTTTTTTTGGAATGTTACGTTTTAACTAGGGTTTAAAGGTTCAACATGGACACCAATAATAATTATAATAATGATAATAATAATTTATCATTTACAAGGCGCAAAATAGCATTTAAATATATGATCTAATGAGCAATATGGGCGCCGTGACGTCTTGTAAAACGGATTAATCACACAACATTGCCGCCTGATCACATGGATACAAACAAAGAATAATTATCGACGAACGCATTTTTTAACTTTTTTTCTTTTTTTGGAATGTCACGTTTTAACTAGGGTTTAAAGGTTCAACATGGAGATGACACAGCCACAGTATATCCATTCTTGTCTTTAATGAATAGCAGTTTATTTGTTTATCATACGCGGTTTGCTAAACGTTTGGTGACACTTGGTCGCTATGATTACGGGATATGATGTGAAAATTAGCGAAGAAGCACTTGGTTTAGACCTCCAGCATGTAAAATGCTTACTTTCTCTCGATATGTTTCTCCCTTAACATAAACTTGTATTTCTCTGTATTAAACTAATACACTAGAAACTTCTGCCATATTCGATTAGCTTAGAGCAGTGGTATTTCAGCTTAATTTGAAATACCGTCCTTATTCTACATGTGAAAATTACACTGAAACCTTTGTGGGTAATAGTAATATAGGTTATGGCTAGAGACAACAATTGCCCCGTTGACGACAGAAGAACAATTAAACCTGTCAAACTGTGTTGCAAATGGAGAATCTGAGGAAGGTAATGGCAATTGGAAGTAAAAACTGGGTAGTTTCTTTATGTTGCGGACAGGTGCAATCAGCAAATGACGAAATACAAAAGTCTAAACAGATACTGAACAATACCCACCCAAAAAGAATAAGACACCTACTCATCAGTTGCTTCAATATGCAGCATCAACTGGATACACCCAGCAATTGGTAAAACCATAACTGGAAAGCCGACAAGTTTATCTAACATTGTTGGATGATTTTGCTTAAGAAAGTCAATGAATAGTTTAAAAAGCCGGGGTGAAGGCTTAGGGGTTGTTGCAAATTTAAATAACATCGTGTTCAGTTATTTATAAGTGACATGTAAGTGAAAGTTCATTACCTCTATTCTATGTAGTTGGCGTACTGCTAATTAAAGACGTGGATTTACTCTCTAACAGCGTGGCATGTGTAAAAAATATATATATATGTCTATAGCAAAAGCGGAAGTTTAGTGCATAATAAGCCGATAAAAATTCCAGGATGTAGTAGTCAATGACGAGAAAAATACTTCTTTTAACGAAACAAATAAATATCTTTAAGAAATATTCTATGGAATCCACTTTCATTGCACTTTGATTTTCACATTTTATGCATTTTCATATTTTCAGAGACAGCAAATTAATATGCAAATACAGCGCAAAGATGCATGTTTTTGTTAGCTGGGAGCCATATGATCCATTAATAAGACGTAGGATCGATCATCAGTTCATCAGTAAAATACTCATATGACTGAAAAATAAAACAGGCGTGAAAAGATATATGGAAGTTTGGCGCTGATGCACAATTTCATGAATCTGGTTCTCCATAGTAGTTGCATAACATGTACTGGTAAAAATGTGGAGCTTTTTCTGCCAAAAGTTATTCGTGGGAAGCTAAAAAACTAGATATTTTTACTACTACCTAGCAAATAAAAAAAAAACTTAAAGGACCAAAGAGTAATGTTATTCTGCCATTCAAAGCCTATAAGGTTAAAGTAAGAAGCGTGAAACTGCAGCAAATGTTAGATGGTTACATAGATGCGCGTAAGACACCAAACAACAACGCTAATTATCAAAGAGCGCACGGAGTTCATTCAGTATATTATTTCAATTTACCTGGAACAGAACTTCTGGCTAAAAGCTACACGTTAGTAGTACAGAAAGCTTTTTACCAAACTGTCTAAAATTGAAATAAAAGATTTATTTCATCCTTAAATACACAAACATGTATGTACGTTTACTTTAAAATGTCACATTCGCAAGAACCTAAGACTGCGCAGTTTATGCTAAGTATGTGCAAAAAAACCTTTAAAGAATCACTGAGAAATAATGTAGATTTCTAGCTAATAGACGTTTTCTTTCAAACAAACGTCTCTTGTCAAATATACACTTCCCTTTCAACGCTATTAAGTTTGTTTTAGGGCAAAGTAAGGATTCTGACATCGACGCTACAGAGCCCGAATTGTTAAAAAAACAACATGGATCTGTAAACGGCCTGGACGCAAGTAATAAATAGACTGGAGAGAGTCGATTTCTCTCTCTTTTAAACGCCTCCCATATCTATTAAACGCCAGCGCTTGGGCTCCTAAAAAAAATGAGCAGCACGATCGTCAATTAGACAATTTACGGTACATGTATGAGGTTCATTACCTTCAACTTTCAATGATTTTTCTATTCCGCAAAAGCAAATGGTCTGCATCTTAGTTCCATGGATGGATTAAGAGGTTTGATGGCAAACTATAGGAAACTGAAATTTGTTGGGAATTGACTTGAATTTTGAGAATCAGATAAGTAATTCATAACAGAATCACATCTGCAGGACTGGCGTATATAAATGCATGTACGTGTTGGTTGTGTGCGACAACAGCACGCTTAATATTACCGTGGCAACAAGTCGGTAGCTTTATCCAAACAGTCCCACATAGATTTTTAATGTTTAGTTTCTAAATTGCTCGCATACGTGTAAACTTTGTAAATTTTCTAACTCAGTTTTTGGCCGAGAGAAAGATCTGGGTACCAGATCAATATTTAAGTGTCTCGTCCCATGTAAAGCAATCCGGATTCTCGAATCCGGGAAATCTTTGCTTGTGAAATTGGGAATCGTGGGCTTTAGAATCCGGAAACCAGCTCAAGGATTGAAATAAAAAATCTAATACCTGGACATCTCCGAGATCTATACGGTGGAATCCAGAATCCATGAGATCATGGCCCGCTTGGATTACTTTTCAAATTTGGGACAAGGGTGAAAACGTTTAAAAAATAAAAGAGAACCATGGGCACAAAAACAAAATATTCATAACCTATACAATCTTTTTTTATTTGTATTTCTGTTTGTATGTTGGAACTTTATTTATTATCTACGGACTTTTTGTTTCACTACATCCTACAAGTTATACGTTATCACTGCTCCTGCTGTCGATCTTCCTCTAATTCCCGCTTGCATGCGCAATCCAACTCACGAGCGGCTGCACAAATATTGCGCCGGTAGTTCAGCCTCGTCTCCTGAGAAAAAAAAAAGAAGGTTGATTTCTGTATTAGAGGGAAACCATTTTAAATACATGTAGGCACCCTGTGTTAGAATTTATTAGCCTCAGAAATTAAAGTCATGAACTTTCCATACCATATTTTGTGTAATAATTAAACCAGTCTTTGTGAGAGGTGAACTTTATTTTCATAAAGCTCCCCTCTCAAGAAGCAAGCAAGGGTTTAATCATCATGAAAGGTTTTTCTGTAGTTTAAAGATGACCACAATTTCTTTTGGGTGATGACAAACACCAATTAAGCAAAAAACATGACAATGAACACTAAAAAGGCGGAAAGTAAATTTTCGAAAGTTGGTTTAGCGTCCTTCCTGTGGGAAAAGTTGTCATCTTAACAATCATTACAAAAAAAATGGCTTACAATAAAAAAAAAAAAATGGTCATTACCTTCCCACGTTTGTATTTGCCGGTTGCAGCCCTTGCCGCCATACAATCAGTCTCTTTTACCAGCAGTGAAAACAAGAGCGTCAAACAAAGAAGAATCAATACTGTAGATTTCATTCTCGTTGTAATGGCCAGTGGTTTTGTGAGCTCCTTCTTAAGAGAGGTACAGAGTACAATAGATCAGGTTGTTTTAACACACGTTTCCTCTTATAAACCGGCCAGCTACCCATGCCATGCACCTGGAATGCCACTGACAACACTTAAAAAAAGAAATTTTTATACTCCCTTGAAACGTCAGCGTTAATTGCCTTTTACAAAGGCACCGGCCTTTGCAAATGTTTGCAAATGGTTTTTTTAATTTCTACAACGGTAACCAAGTTATAATTGGATAAATGAGACGGCATACGTAGAACGAGTAATGATCTGAAAATTTTCAGTGACAGCTTCATTACGATTACTACAGCGGTCAGTGTTTATTTACCAATGCTCTACGTAGCAATAATATGTCTTTTTTTTCTTTCCTGTTTTCTTTTCTTTGCAATTTTGGTTTGTCAGGTCCTTCAGGTCTTCCTTATCTTATAATTATGGTTCCATATTTTCTATCCCATATCACTTCATCTTTTACTTGTTTGCATGCATATCAACATGGGGTGCGCAATTAACACAGTTTACTTTTAAAAAACCTTTTAGTCTTTTTTTCTTAAAAATAAGTATTAACAAGATTCAACGAGGTTGGGAACGAGGTTGTATATGTTGTGGTTCAATTTTATTCTTGGTATAAATTTTATTTTCCTTTGTTTCAAACTAATTATCATTTATCATCTTCATTACCATACCTAAAAGCAAAGGAAAACAAAATTTGAACCAAGAATAAAATTGAACCAACATATATGTTGTAGTTTGTTTCAACCAAGAATAAAATTGAACCAAAAATTACAACAAAAAATTAACTACAACATATACACATGTAGGCAGTAATGGCGCCTGTAAAACAACTAATACAGGTATATCTACCTGTTTTATTTATTTATTTTTTTTTAACCTTAGTCGTTGGCACTAATACAGTGTATATCTAGCTGTTTTTTTTTTTTTAATCCTTAGTCTTTGGCGCTTGAAAAGCAAAATTTTTATTTTGTTCGTAACGACAGCTAACTGATATTCGTGGCGTATAAACAGTTGAAAGAAGCTGCTAAGATAAGAGGCGTCTCCAGTATGGAAAAACGATGTCGACTGGCTCGAGATCCGACCAGAATTCCCGGGGAAAAACAAAATTACTTAGTTTAGTACTTTTTTCGTACTGATGATTCTGGTAGTGAATGGCCGTTACCTTTAATGACCTATGCATTTAGCTTCTTTTTCTTTCCAGCGTGGTGCACATTTGAAAATATCAATCCATGTCCGAGAAAATTCATCGCCAGGAAAATTAACTCTCCGACGTACAAGGGGGCAATGCCAACTCCCCCCCCCCCCCAATAAGATTATCCTGAGTTTGTTTTTCCTAGAGCATAAAACGTTAGCACCTGACGTTTTCAGTAGCTGTTCGTTCATCCCTCGCGCATATTTTGAGGCAAGTTTAGTTATAGTCCGTTGCTATGGTTACAAGATATGACGTCATAAGTACAAGGTGGTCAAGCCATTTTTGGGTGAAAATGTATGTTTTTTTCAACTTCTTTCAACAATAAATGCAAATCTTGTGGCTAAAATCGTGCAAAGTGCTTATTTATACGTTACTTTTTATGTGAAGCACAAAAAAATCACCATTTCTAGCGGTTTTAACTTGATTTCCAATTTGGAAAAATTAGCATAGCGTCAAAACAGTGAGTGTTGTAACGCTGAGGTTTGGTCGGTCCGTAGGCTAGATTCGTCTCGAAGGTGTTGCAGGGAATCAAGCTTAATGAAAGTTTCAGACATTATTATAAACATCATGAAGATTATGTGATAAGGTTTAAAAAGAATTCTGTCGAGCCGTTTAAGAGATAATAGAAAAGCGCTAAAAGTCAAGATTTAGAATAAGGTTGCACTTAGAAAGGAGAAAAAAGAAAACAGGTCAGTTTTCAGGATCGCAAGAAAGGAAATAACCAAAATTACCATGCATCGAAATATGACATTAAGCAGCCTTCTGACCCTACTTATGATTAATTTGAGTTATTTAGAACTTTTATTAAAAAAATAGAAAATTATCACTGCTATTGAAAATATAAGGTTTGAAATATATTAACGTTTCATTTGAATTTAAACAAACAGAATTTTAATTTTTACTTGTCATGGAGGTTATTTGTTAAATACCAAATCTGTAAGTTCCTGGTGTCGGATTTTCAGTAGCAGGTCTAGATCGCGCAAAATTTGGATTGAATCGATTTTGAAGGTTTTTGTTATTGTTGTCATAGTGATGTCGTTTTTTTTTTTCTAAAAACTGCATTTTGACAAACTTCAAGTCATAGTGAATCACTGGTGAAAATTTTGTGGCGATCGGACAAGGATAAAAACACTTTTAAGGCGATTGAAAAACATCGGTATGGTCTGCGAAAAACTGTATCGAAACACCTTAACAAACGTACAGATTTCATGCTATCAACTGCATATAGCTGCTTCTGTTCGTTGACCATTAATAAGCTGCATCAAGAGAGAATATTGCGTTACAGAGAGGGAAACGCCCGGTCTAGCCCCTGGGGTCATGTAAATTTCACCAAAGTTATTTTTAGACCAATTAAACCCGTGAAACTAACCTGAAGTTTGTTCCCGAAGAGGTCCGCAAACTTTTACTCGGTATTACATATTCACTGGAGAGAATTCAACAGCCGCAGGAGCCGAGTAATAGGCTCCTGATCTGACAGCCGTCATCAAAATATTTTGAATTGTTCGGTTTGCTTTGAGGCAGTCGTGCGTGGACTTGATGACGTTTTCACCAATCGATTAAAATGTGCGCACGTCTCAGGAATGAGACCTCTAAGACCGTTTACCTCTGAAAGTTACTTTAGTGATATTTACTTATTCAGGCAGACGCCCTAAGATTCCCTCTGAGTCCCATTATTCTCTCTAGGCTGCGTTCATCTCAAAAAAGGCCTTTGAAACTTTTAGTATTTTACTCTCCCAACTTGCGTTTAGTAAATAGCAGTTTGTTTATTCATCAAACACGGTTTGACGATCTATGGTAAACGTTGGTCGCTATGGTTACGAGATACTGACGACGTTAATATTCATGAAGACTCATTTTCTTCAGACCTCTAGGATGTAAATTACATACCTTCGCTCTGTTTTTTTTTCCTTTCTTAGCATAAACTTGAATTTCTGGGAGGGGGTGGTTGGGTAGTGGGTGGTAGACCTGGTGCTTGAAAGATTGAGAAATCAAAAGCAAACACTTTATATTAATCAAGTAAACTAATATCAGCAACTGTTTTTATCTGTGTTATTGATTATCCTCCCTTACAACAATCCCTTACTACTGCATTTTTTCTCAAAAATGCAGGAGCGTGTCTTGCGTATTTTACATTTACTTGGCTAAACTTCTATAGTGAATGAGTAAGTAACAGCAGGTCAAACACTCAAGTTTTTATTTTACACTGTAGGATGGTCAATAAAATTGGCTTAAAAAATTGGTTCACAAAAAATTAAAGTCATCTGAAAAGGATGATTAAGGTATCAAAGCGTCGCCCATGACTCTGTTGCGTGACACTGCATCAACACGACTCACCTACTCAGAACTGTTTTCAAAGTATAACGCACCCGGAATTAGTGAGAAGATGACAAGGTCAAACTTTCACCATTCAACTTCTTGAATGTATATTTTTAAATAATGGTGACAAACAGAGGCGAGTACAACGCTATAAATGGCTTTCAAAAGCAAAAAGATGTAATTTGTAATACAAATATGGTCGACTAAGCTGATCTTTCTTAAATCGATAGAAGCAAATACAGAATGAAGAGCACTGTTAACACTGAATATCTACACATTTGATTTTCTTAGAATGAAGCTTTTCCTATAAAAAAAAATAAAACTAAATTGAAAGCTTACGGCAAAACAATAAAAACGAACCTGTAGTAAACACAAAATCGCGAATGTTTCTTCTTTTAACGAGTGTCACAAAATAGATACCAGTACCCGGGCGAGAGATACTGAAGGCCAGATCTGGCAGCCAGTCCCTCCAAGAGGGCGCCCAAAGCGTGAGATCGCATGGTGTCTAGAACGATACCCCTCAGGATCCCCGGGGGGCTTCAAAAGTAAGCGTTCTCTTTTGTCGAACGCATTAAGCTATCGAACGCGAGGTTTTGGAGAAAATTTTGACGATTTTTGGTCGAGATATTGTTAAGCGAAGGTCTTGGATATTAGCCTTTTAGTAGAAGCGCTTTTACAAATAGAATTAATTCCAAATTCTTCAAACATGGGAAGGAAGAATATGTCTTTTTTCAGAGGACAAAAAAACTCTCGAGAGAAAGATATCCTCAAGTCTTTGGCTTGAAGAGTACGAAGACTATTTGTGGGAGGCTTCCACGCTTAATTTTCGGTCCTTAAATCTCCGAAAGAAATTAACGATTAAGAAAGAATGACGTAGCCATGTAAAGCCTGGTTAAGATGTAAGTAGGAAACGTCAACTGCACCTAAATGTGAAATGCGCTGCAGACAACAAAAGCAGTTTTATTGTTAAAGAGTGCACAAAATTCATTTAGCGCGTATACCAATATTTCAATTTATCGGGGAAAAAGCATCTGGCTAGCTTAATTGTACAGAAAATAAATAAACCTGGGGCGCTAAAGATAACATCAAAGCAGTAACATGATTTAATCTATATAATTAATCGTTTGATTTATTGTTTTATTTAGCCTTTAGTCATTATTAGTCTTCTTTGGCTTGCCATTGAAAATAACTTACGATGCACAATCAATCTATTTTGTTTACATGCAGGTGCAGCCAAATGCCAGTACGTCAAAATAAGGAGAAGATTCACCACAGTAGGTTTCATTCTGATTCCCAGTACAGGTTGTTGTTGTTTTTGTCAAATTCATTGGTTCTGATCCTAAACTCCCCACTACCATAGAAATCACCTATCTCCCTACACCCCACATTTTTCGAACTTGACTATCGCAAAAAAATGATACTTTAAAACTTTCTAATCATTCTTTTCTCTCACTCCTCCATAAGATTATGATCATTCATCACTTCCACATTTCCCATAATGCAACTTATTTGTTCCCCCCCCCCCCAAAAAAAAATATTGCATAACCTTTGTTTTTCATTTCTTCTGGGTATCACAGTCGTCCAAAGAGAAACTGAAAACAATGCTTATGCAAAATTCTTGGGAGCAAAAGGTGCATTATGGGAAATGTGAAAGTGGCGTATGATTATTATTACGATTATTATTATGATCATCGTGGCTATAACAGTGACGTGAAGATCTAACTTCATGAGTTCCTCCCTCTGCACACAAGCTTTGCTTATCCTCAATAATACGTCTCGGATTAGAAGACAATAAGACGTTTTTGAGCGACGCACGTCAACCGAAAGTGGTCTTTTTTCATTTTTGGACGGTGATTTTGAGCAAATTTTAGAGGTAGCAAGTTTCTTCTGGTAGGCTGTGGGGTGAGTAGCAAACTAGTTGACTCAACACACGCGACTGACCCGAACACGTGCGACTGACCGAACACAAACGAGCGACGAGAAATGGTGACGTCAACAATCATTTACAGACTACACATCAAATCTACTGGGACATGTATTACGTATTCTACAGACTACTATCAACGAATCACTTTAGAAACTGGTTTACTAACTTAGACATAGTCAACAGTTACCGGCACCGGACAAACGACTCATGGTCGAAATCAAGCAAAACTAACTACGAGACAACGACTGGAGAACTGACAATTTGACTAACAATAGACGACTGTTCAACTGTGACAATAGACGGATTGAAATGCTCCAATTGCATTACGAGTCTTCAAAGCCAATAACAGCACGGCTTAACTCCTTAACTGACACACGACCAATAACATCGCGACTTAATTGACCAATCAGGTCAATAAACAGAGTATAACACCATCAACTGACGTGATATGACTCACTTTGACTCTGAAGATGACTACCACACAGGTTATCGAAACGTCATTCACTGTCAACAACAACAGTCCCATTCAGGGCTACGTTCACCCGGACGATCAAACTCAAACTACTTTTGAAATGACTCCTAGGTTCAAACCTGTCACAAAATAAGAACTTAATAAACAACCCTAATAGCCTAAATTTGTGCAGATTACCATTAATTTTATGTAATAACCTCTTCAGGTAATCTTTGGAAAATGCAGGTTCTCAGTCGCGGGTTTTTACTGTATTTCTGGGACTTGTCATGTCACCAGCATGGCATCCACCAAGTCTCCGAGCTCGTATGGAGGTTGATAGCCCCTGTTTCACTCATTCTTTAATCTTGCTCACTCCGATATTTAATTGCACCCACACATATTAAACGGTTTTAATTGTTATACTCAAAGTGTTTAAAACAAATACATGTAGTCATGACTGACCAAGTTGGCATGAGAGTGTGCAAAGATCATTCTTGGAGCAAGGTCGCGAGGACGCTATTCCCTCGCTCGATCGTTCGAGCGAGATTTTGCCCGCTACAACAATGACTAGTATAATAATTATGCTTTCGTGGAAATATTTCAGGTCAACGGTGATTTTAAAATTATCCCGGCTGGTAAATGGGCAAATTAAAGTGATAATCTCTCTTTACCTGTAATGACGACAGTAACTGTCCTTGAAATACAATACAACACACGTGCTGAGAATCAAGTTTGGAAGCCTCTTCATGAAAAGTTCCCTGATAGTGAGCAGTGAATGTTGTCTTCTACCTTTGAAAAACGTAAAAGGGTAAAAGTTTGTTCCCCGTGTTTCTTCGAGGAAAGGTGACAGAGGATTAATTTGCAATTGCAGGTCTGGATTAATTTGCAATTCAACGTATTATTCTCTCTTTTTGTTGTCAAACGCGATAAGCAAGCCAAAAATCTCTATAGCCATTTTTATCATCAGTCGTAAATACCTTCAACTGTAAAGGAGTGTGGTAATTTTAATAATAATAATAATAATAATAATAATAATGATAATGATAATGATGATGATGATGATGATGATGATGATGATGATGATGATAATAATAATTGCAAATCTCAAGTATTAAATAATTGAAAAATTAACAAACGATATTAAATGAATAAATAAAATCGTTTATCAGTGGGAAGTGGACGAGATTTGCATGACAGAGAATCCATGCTAACCCCCCTTCCATTTAGAATTTGTTTTTTAAACAGTACCAGGTAAAATATAACCCGGATGTTGCGGAACATTTATTCATCTGGATTTTCAATAGTAAGATGTCGTTACTTCGCCGTCCACAAATTCACGAGTTTTCCTACATGTACTTAAATTCAGATTGCTTTTAAAACTGTGTGAAACACATTTATATAAACCTGAGGCTAATTTTAAGGTCCAAAAAATTTTGCTGCCCTTTGATTTCAATTATTTACATTTTTTTTTTGGTCCTTATTGAATCGTACAAAAAAATAATGCTATTGGAAATCATGAGTGTTAAATGGTCTCATATCGGAGTACCGGGAAAGATGTCACATTTACTTGAACACACGTTTGTTTTGGCGGCACGACGTACATGATTTCACTCGTTCGGTCCAAAGTCACACGTCAAGATGTTCCAATTTGAAATGTTCAGGGAAACCGTATTACTATTTTATAGGTATAGTGCGAAGTAAAGGAAATGCTTCGACCGATGCACAAAAATGCGTATTCAAAGCTCTAAAAGAAAGGCTATCAAGAGCGAGATCGATGTATTTTAGCTACATGTAAAATCCATCGCGTCTCAAAAAAAATCTTTTGATTTCAAATGAATACTTACATTTGTTTTGCTAAGTCTGAAAATGTTCTCGCGTTTAATTTAACAGAATACTTTTTTTTTTGTATTCTTCTCTCAGGCCACTTATTTTTATCCATTTATTTATTTTTTTTGGCAATATTCTACTTGAAGCTGCAGTGACCTTAGGACTGTAGAGAGTAGATAACCCCACAAACAGAAATATGTCTTTTACTTTTCATGCGACGAGGCAAGTGAATGCCTGAATGTGTAATCAGACACCTGGGTGCGCACGGCAGCTATAGTGTTCTGTTTTGGCTGACATAATATGACGTACATCTTGGGAGCAAACATACAACCTAGGAGGCCATAGGAACTCACTAATGTAGTGGCGCATGCCACAATGGCTCCACTCCAGTTCTCTAATCCCACAAAGTCGACTGGGAAATATGCTACAGTAGAAAGAAGGAGTATGTACATAGCCAGACCAATGTACCTTGCCTCGTTGAAATTTTCTGGCAGTTTTCTGGCCTTAAATGCTTGTATAGTAGAAATCAAGGAAAGAAGAAAAATGTAGCAGTTGATTGCCACGTGAAGACCAAACCCGCCTCTGGAGCTATGCGGCTGACACGTTAGGAAAATGGACTCGCCTCTCTGAATTACCCGTCTAAGGGATGGTGGATCAAGAATCAGCCAAGAGGTCAAGAGACAAAAGACCACTCCGTTAAGTAAAACCATGAAACTCGCTTGAATTTTCGTCGTTAAGATGAGTTGCTTTGTAGTCCTGTCAATGAGATTAGCGTGAAATACGCTTAGAATGCGGAGAGTTTTAATCATCAAAGTAGCTACGCATGTTCCCAATGCAGCGTGACTAAAACAACACCTCAAACGGCAAATCAAATTGGTTGGTTTAATCAAGCTCAGAAATGTTTGTGCAAAGAACATGGTTATAGAAAGTAGAAGAATTGCGCTTAGCTCACGACTTGAGGCCTTGAAAAGAGGCGTTTCTCGGTATTTCAATAAAATAACGGCCGAAAACAGTGTTAGTAGTACGCCAAGAGACACAAAGCCAGTTATAATTAAACCAGTGATGTCTGTTAACTTCATATTAGCAATTGGTAAATCTTCACATTTCGTTCGTTCATTGTTGCTTCTTTGATCTTTTGCACATTCTGAACAATTTGAAGATCCAGGAAGTGGATTTACTGATCCGATAGGACAATTTGTACACTCCCAACAACAAGTAGTTGTAGCAGTCTGCAACGTCCCAGGAGGGCATGCAAATGAACAGACTGAGGTCGGTATAATGGTCGAGTTTAAAAACTGCTGCTCCATTTGATCTTTTCATTGTCAACGTGGAGTCTTTTCTTGAAAGTCTTATCCCATGAACCCACAATTACTTTCTGGTATCGTTCATCGCCACTTCCAGATCGCTTTTGGAAGTTGATGATGTCATAAGACGAGATCAAAGGGTCACCGGCCTCGTCAAATTCAACCTTGCCTAGTAAACCTTGAAATGAAACGTTTCTTAAGTACAAATCGACATCAAGCGGTTTCACAGTTGCGCTAGTATCGAGACATTTGCCACCCGGAAGAAGACCATACGGTTCTACGCAGAAATATAGCTTATGAAGAGCGTGTGCAACGGCATACACTGCTTCAATGACATAGGGGAGGAAGGTATCGTACAATTTAGGAATTACTCGCCAAGACAATGTCGTGTTCTCTTTGCAGATATCCAAACCTTTAGATTGATTTACTGAACAATTCAATTCACCTCTCCATACGTCTTCCCACCAGTGCGAAAGGCGTTTTTCCTTCACATCCTTCGGGGCGAAAGTAGATAAATAGGATTCAAAGTCCTTGCTTTGGTAAAATCGGGGCTGTATTCCTAAGGATCCGTCTAGGATATTGAAGATAGTACGGACGTGCCTCGGTTGCTCAGATGCAAGGGCATCGCTTAAAATCCAGGTACGGTCGAAAATTTGCTGCTTTTCTGCTTCTTTTAAAAACCTTTTTCCATAGCCGCCAAATAGCCAAAGAACAATGACTTTAACTTTTCTTTCTCTCTTCAGCTTTGATATAATAATTTTAATCTTGTTCATATAGTTTAAACGCGGGATGTATTCTGACAGCGCAATGCAAAATGATTTTCTTGTAAACGATTCCTTTTCAAGAGCCCACACGCCATACCTGCCATATGAGTCATCAACAGCAACCGCCCCAACATAGTTCCAACCGAAATATTCAAACAAATCCGCCATGGCACTCGCTTGCTGCTTGTCCGAAGGCACGGTCCTGTAAAAGTGCTTGTAAAATGGTGAGCTCAATTCCTCACTGGTAGCACCGAAACTGATGGCAGGTACCCCCGCAACTTTGAGCAGACTTCCCACTAACACAGAACTTCCAGAATCGCCAGGCCCTATAACAGAGATCAGGGGACTTACATGTCCTGGTGCCGTTTTATTTGGTGGTTGTGACGCCAAGAATTCTTTGGGGCATACATAATGCGATTCCATATCTTTCACAAATTTATAAGTCGCATTCACAGCAAGGGAGGCGCTTTCACAGTAGTCATGTATGTCATAGCCCAAAGTTATATTTGGCAGTAGTTTAGGATCACTGTTTATCCTTTCAATGGCGTAAATCACAGCTTGCACATGTCCTAAACCGGGAGCATGAAAATCGCCGCAGTCCTCATTATTGGTACCTTTGTAGTGAAGAAAGAATAGGCCGCCCAGGGTAAAGTTGCTATGTTCCGGCCTTTGAATGTTCTTGCTGAAAATTTTATTGTGATGTTGCGCTGTGACTGGGAAAAACAAAGTCAAGACGAAGAAGATTCCCAAAGGCTGGGTGTACTTCATTTTCCAGTACTTTAAAGTCTCCAAAATTCGTCTCTTCTCTGCTCTGACTATCTTTCGATTGTTGTATAAGGGAGCTCGTCAATTCAAAGCTTTCAGTTTTCTTTTTACCTTGCATTGACTACAGAGAAAATGAAAACATTTAAAAGAAGTTAGCGCTATCTTAATCAAAGGCCTTTGACTGGCTTTAGATTTCACCGAGTTTACAATCAACTGCTGATAAGGCATCTGATTATGGAAGCGCGCTTAATTAAAAAAGCTTTCTATTAAAGGAGGCTGACAATTAGGTGTTGAAAATAATGTGCAAACTGGTTCTTTAAGCTGTCCAAATGAACTAAGAAAACAGCTAGAATGAATGTCTCCATTTAAATAATTCAGCTCGGTTCCAGATTGAATAATCTCACAATAAAAGGCATCTTTGTGAAAATCAAATTGTGTCTTCATTAATAAAAAAATTGAAGGACGTATAAACATATCCCCACCCCACATAGGAAAAACCCAGGGGCGTGTCTTGGTTTTGCTACTGGATGATCCTGTGAGGAGATCTCCTATTACATTATATGTCGTATTGTTATTGAAAATGGCTGCCATCTTGGATTTTAGTACGAACCGTTAAAAAAAACACTCAAAAGTGCAAAGTGCAAAACATCCAATTTTCGCCCCCCCCAAAAAAAATGACTCGAAGGCATGTTACTTCTGATCATAGCGACCCATCGTTACTTTAAGGTTTTATATCAAAATGTGTGGTAATACCCTAACGGAAGAGAAGGGCTAATTTTATAAATTTTGTTTACCTATACCTAATAATAAATTTTGTTTACTTTATTTTTTTTTTAAATGGCTGATTGTCAAGATTTGTGAACCTACAGTAGTTAATGTGTATTTATAAATAGTCTGGTAGAGTTACCTCCCCCCCTCCCTCCATCCCCCCAAAAAAAAAAAAAACAAACAGACAGAAAGAAAGAAAAGAAGAAGAAGAGGAACACCTTCACACGTCACCCAATGTATCAGCTGCTCCGATCCAAGATTCAATCGAAGCTCTCATTCTGGTTTGATCTACTTCAAAAATGTAGATTACCTCTTTTCAATTTCAAATTCAGGTGAAGAAAATAGTACTTTGGTCAGACATTTATTTGATCCATTTATTTTGGTCCAATTGGGAACTAAAATTCACAAAATACTAAATCTTACCCAAGCAGTCCATACTTCTTTAATCATACAACGTTAGCCATTTGTCTCCTTGTTCCTCCATTCTTTTCGCACTTATGGACCGTACTATATAATTAACTAAAACTTTTATTGCTTGTGTGAAAATGAGTATTTTGATTTTTCGTTAATTTAATCGATCGTCTTGAATTAACACCACTTTCAATTTCCTACACGAAGACATTCAAAATTACGTAACGATATTGTTATTTTACATCTTTCTCTATCCAGCTCTCTGTAAACATTATAATCCTTCATTTTTTCTTTCTTTATTTAGTCCTTAAATGTATTTTCGTTTTTCTTTAATTAGTTTTGTTTTTAATGATAAATATATAATAAAAAAGCATCACGAAATTCTTAGTAAACTAGGCTTTGTTCTCTATGACGAACCCTCGGGAGCCCCATGCATCATGCAGTCACCCCACCGTTGAAATAATAGGGACCTTAAGATCCGAGGACGGCGACGGGCAGCGAAAACGTCCTTGAAAAAGTGAATTCGCGTTTTTTCAATCTTCATCGCGATTACTCCAAGTAACTAACTTTGTTAAATGTAGGTGAACCCTCTTAAAATTGAATTCCTAAGAACCATATCCAAGCTCAGAATCGAAATAGAGAGGAAATTTCGTCGTCGCTTGTGTACTTCCTTTGTAAAGCGTCGTAGTCGTGCAGTGACGGCAAAGAAATGAACAAAAAAGGGTGATACCTGCAAAATTGTTGTTTTGGTTATTAAAACTATTACTTTTTTGACGTCCTTGTTGCCGTCGCCGTCGTCGGATCTTAAGGTCCCTAATTGATGGGAAGGGTTGTTGCAATGTCGTATGTCTTGTTTGCAAAATCATAGGAAATTAAGGGGCAAAGTTAATCAGATAATGAATATCAAGAAATTATCTCGAGTTGCTTATAGTGTTCAGATTTTTTCTGTTTTAAATGCCCTTTGATAGAGGACATTATATATTTTCAGTCTTAGAAAGGTCTTAGAATTTCAGACTGTCCATCGCAATAGTCTTTAGAAATCATATAAAGTTAGTCGAAAAGAATTGATAAGAATCTCCGCCCTTTCCTGTCCGATTACTTGTTTATATTTTTCCTCTGGCAATTACCACCACAGTACAATTTACAATTTCTGCAAGTGTCAAATAACATTTCATTTTATTCAGTTCTCTTTCATCTCGAAGATTTACATAGTTTAACTTAAAGTTACTTCAAAAAGGAATCATCGTTGAATTAAACGCTGTTCCCTATATAGCGAAGATTTTAATACTATGAACTCTTGGGCTTGTTTTCTGTTGGCTCTCAATCGTCTTTCAGCTCCATCTCCCGGTAACACTCCAATTTCCGTGCAGCTTCGCACAAACTTCGTCGATAGCTGATCACTTTTCGCTGGAAAAAAAGGATGTAAATAAAAGCGTGGTTACGAAAAAAAAATACAATTTGATCATTATTATATATAGTGATGCTAAGAGCACCTTCGATGAGCGGTCATAAGGATACCAAAATATTTCTAATGAATTTTTCGCTTTTTGTCGATTGCTGTTTACCTTGCTTCTTTTGCCTACGTCCATACAGTCAGATCCGTCGGGTCCGAGGGACACTAGGGAGAAGAGCGATAAACACGACAGATAACAGTACTGATTTCATTTTCAGGACTCGATCTTTTGTCAGTGAGGCTGTACTTTGTTTAAAGGAGTGAAGAACAAATTGGATTGTTGCTACTGCGTGGGACATCTTATATGGACTTGCTGTTGGAGCAATTAATCAAATTGTGTTAGATTAATATTAGAGTCAAAAGCTACCAACGTGAAATTATAAGCTATTACCACAAGGGCGGATGGTCAAATTGTTCTTTGATTGCAATTAGACGAACGCTACCTTCGTAAAATTTTGCTTCGAGATACTAAATGCCTAATTGCTGCTCAAATTAAAGAAATTGTGTTAGCTTCTATTAGTAACATTACTATTAGGAGTACAATAAGGTTACACAGGTAAATATAATAAGATAAATATTGAAAGTTTTATTATTATTATTATTATTATTATTATTATTATTATTATTATTATTGTTGTTATTATTATTATTAGACAAATAGACGGTGAACTTGCACGGAATTACCTGGGGCTTGACATGCGATTAATAATTCGGAAGGAAATAATAAGTCACAAATTCATCTCACCTCAAGGTGTATTTCTGCACGTGTCACGTGTAATCATGCTCACCGTGGAGTAAATAAATGATGTCTTCAATTTAGTCTCCCATTCAGCCGTTTTCTCTCCTCAGGCAATCTTCAGACTAAAGTTATATCATTTAAAGTTGAAAGAAATACACGGGACAGGTTCACGGTTAAGCGCATGCTCGTGAATCGTTTTTTTCAATTTATTATTACTTCTATCGGTTAATAATTCCACTCACATGTATCTCAGCAATCTCAGAGTGTATTTCAAAGTACAAGTGTATTTCAGAGTAACGAAGTATGATGGAGGAGTACTAAAATCGCAGAAAAAACTGGTGGATTACGCCAACACTACCAACGTTGAATTTTTTGTTGAACCGAAGGTTTTATTCCATGGTTGATTAATTTATAGCTATTTGCAAATATTTAAGTTACTCAACTGCAAGTGACTGTCGGGGGAGTGTGCAGATTGGTCCTCTGACAACATTATGACATCATCATATTGCTTGCATAGACGATGCAGCATGTATACAGCATAGCAGAAAAACAGCATTTTGATTAATGAGCATGCGCTGAACCGTGAACCTGTCCCTTTAAGGCATGACTTAACAAGGCATCCGCGAGTTACCCATAGTTTTTTCTTTGGTTTACCCATTCTGGCCCCTGGATAACCACAATGAATTTAAAAATGTACAGTTATATTTTGTATATATTTTATAAAAATATTCTTTGACACTTAAAGTGTTTTCACTTTTATTGACAGAGGAGAGAGTCAAGAAATTTGCCTGTGACCACTAGAACAAATTGGTTGAAACACTTGTCACAATCAAGCATGCGCAGTAAGGTCATATGATGGCTCTCTCTCCTCTTTACGTACGGCACTATTGTCAGCTGATCTATCTGGGTAATTAATAAATTACTGAAAATAAATTCTACAAAAGCGAAACTCCAGAATGATCTCCAGTCTTCATACTATGAAGATAATTTAAAAGTATAAAGAATATGAAATCCTTGCCACCGACTTTAGGTTTAATTTGCCATTTATATAGTTATTCTTTATTTCACTTGCTCATTTTAAGATAACACATGAAGTGGTGCTTCTTAAGACCGTTCATTTAAATTTCTTTTTACAATAAAAGCCAAGGCTTTATCTCGTTTAACGCATCTAATACATGTATATGTGCTGATTATTCCCTTGCTTCTTGCCACGATGGCATATCTTCTTGTTCCTAGTTGCAACTCAATTCCCGCGCAGCTTATCACAAACGTAACATAATTATTATC